CAGTTTAGGGAGATAGCTGGTGTGATAGCTGCACAGACACATGAATGTACTTAATACTACTGAACCAGTAAATGGTTTAAATGATTTACTCTGTTACATAGTGCCGTAATTTTTTTAAAAAATCATTAATTAATTAATTTTCTTGCATCACTGTCATCCCACTACTCCAATTATTTTTTAAAGGAATGATGATGAAACTTTTTTTTTAATATTTTTTACAGTTTTTTTTTTAAGATTTTTTTTTTATGCATACAGAAATGGGGTACAGCCAGAGATGTGGGGGCAGCAAGAGGATTCACCAGAAAGAGAGTGGGGAGCAGAACAGGTAGATGGATGATGTACACTGGTGAGAGGAGTAGTGGGGGCAGGGTGTGTGTCAGGAGAGGTCTGTGTACCATGTGGGTCACCTCGGGCCAGGAATCGAACTTGCACTGAAGTGGCTGCGGTGGCTAGCATGCCGTGCTTGCGTCCTAACCCACTGCACCACCAGGAAAGGCCCATGATGATACATTTTGAGACAAAAATGTATCAAAAGAAGTGGTAAGAGCAACCATATTTGAGAATATGACAATGACCCATATTTTAAAAACTGGCAACAAATGAGGAGAAAAAAAAGAATCCTCTTACACTGCAAACTGGTCCAACCACTATAGAAAGCTGTGTGGAGTTTCCCCAAATTACTGAAAATGTAGATTCCACTCCTAGGAATCTACCCAAAGGACATAAAAACATTAATTCCAAAGGAAACTTACACTCCTCTTTTTACTGCAGCACTATTTACAATAGCTAAGATATGAAAACAACCTAAATGCCTAAAACAGATAAATGGATCAAAAAGATGTTTTTATATACGTATATATATGTACATATATATACACACACACATATATATGTTCACAGTAGAACACTATTCAGCAATCAAAAAAATAAATTCACGCCATTTGCAACAACATGGATGGTGCTAGAAGGGATTACACTCAGTGAAATAAGTCAGAAGGAAAAAAGAAAACTATGGAATGGTTTCACTTATAGGAATAACATAAGGAAACTGAACAAAGGGTCAAAAAAAGAGACAAAACTTGCACACAAACAATAGATCTAAATACGGAAACTATAGCTCTGAGGGAAAGCAAACATAGGAGGGACTACATAAGGGACTGAGATGATGGTCCACAGGTGATGTGGTGGTGGGAGATTAATGGGGACTACACCTGAGGAGAGAAAAAATGAAAAATGTAAGAAAATGTTAAAATTCAATAAAAAAAAAAGTGGTGGGGCCCCTCACTGGTGGCACAACAGGTTAGGACGCAGCACTGCAGGCTAGCCACAGCTGCTTCAGTTTAAGTTCAATCCCTGGCACTGGAGGTGATCCACATGGTGCAGCAGACCTCTC